GTTTTGTTCTGTTGCACATAAGTTCGCTTTGAGTTGGAACCAACACCTAGCATGAAGATCTTGCCATGAGAGAGAGAAACCTCACTCAGGCTGCCTAGTAAGCTTGGGTGATAGTGAAAGCGGGAGAGAAGAGGCATCAGAAAGATGACTGAGGCTAAGGCACATCAGGCCTACCACAGGGAGCAGTGCCACGGGGGAATGCCAACTCAAAATGACTCAGAGGGCTGAGGAGCACCCCACGGAGGGTTTCCAAGGTTGTAAATCTTCGTGGAAGCAGACTTCCTCCTGGGGGTGGCTGGTGGGCTAGAACTGCCAACCTTCTTTTAGCAGCTGAGTACTTTGACAGAACACAATGTTAATACATAATGACCTACGCACAGTGACACAAGGGCCATTTCCTGGCCAGGAGACAGTGGCTTGCCTAGAAATGATGTCGAAGGTGCTGGAAATAAATGTCTGGAAAATAGGGAAATCTTCCAGATTGGAGATATGGGAGTACGTCTTTGTAGCCCGAGAAGTCATTGCGGAAAGCAAAAAGACGGGATACATTCTTTTAAAAATAGTAGCAGGGAGCTAATAATTTTCACTTAGAGTGAAACTGTCAAAGAGAAAAAATAGTTAAGGAAAATAAAGTAGAAGCGAAACAAATCCTGGTTACTGAAGCAGGAGGGGGATGGAGGAAGTGGCAGTGTTCTAGAAGTTAAGGGAAGGTCTGCATGAACAATCAGCACCACAAACCACCCAGAGACCAAGGCAGGCAGGAGTGGTGGGGAGGGACTTCCTTGGCAACGTGTAAGCCAGAATTTTAAAATCCATTGACAGAGGATATTTGTTAAGTCTTAAACAGGGCAAGGGCAAGATAACTACAAAGACACGTCATCCAGGTGGCGGAGACCATTCGCTGGTGGACAATAGGGTGTCCACGGATTTCCTGAGAAACAGAGCTTTAATACGGACCTAGGTGATCAAGGGCAACTGTCATAAAAACCAAGCTTACAGTCTAAACTAGAATTAGGATCCACTCTTGTGCTCACAAAACACAAGTCGTCCATCAAACAAAAAATTCCTGGGATGAGCTCAGCAGAGAGGTTCAAATGGCCTTTCCCTAATTTGTTTCCGTAGCAAGCACTCGGCGTGCCCAGTCTCACGACAGAGCGGAGCATTTCACTAACAAATCCTTTCTAGTCACACTGAGTGACTGAAACAAGGCGCTATCTTCGACACGCTGTCTCTGGAGTAGTTACATATCTGCTAGAGAGAGGGACCTTGTGTTTCAAATACTAGGTAATGGTTTGCATAAATGTCTCAGCCATTGGGGAAAAGACCAGAGGCTTACATATGTTTTTTTAAAGCATTGACTTGGGGATCTGATCTTCTATGACTCACATGCAAAATTAATTACACCATTTCCCAAGCCATAATTTCTTCCACTCTAACATGAGGGATGAGCTGAAAGGCCCCTGGGGTCTCTGATATGCCATACCTGTGTACTGAAAGCCACGCGGAAACAGAAGTCGCCTTCCCCTTGGGCAGTGATGGTGCTGCTATCTCATGAAAACTCATTATAGACAAGTTATTGTTAACAAGAAAAAAAAGTAGTTTTGACAATCCTACTAGTGGTTAGTATATAATCTTTTCCCCCAAATACAGTGGTTAACTCAGATTCATAATTTAATTGTTCAGAAAACTGGCCTTAGAATTTAGTGAAGTGGATTGTCTTTCTTAAGAATAAGCTCAGCCAGTATATCAATATTGAAAGCAAATAATACAACCATTTTCCTGTACCTTTGATCAGAGCAGCAGACAGGCAGCTGGGTGCAGAGAGCAATAGATTCAGACAGGCTGGGCTCCTTTCCCAATCTCCATCTATCTAGGTTGGCGATTCAAACCTCTAGGGCTTAAATGCCCTAATCACAAAATGATTAGATTAGACTGGAAGATTAAATGTGCACTCTAGGGGTAAAAGATCTGCTATTTTAATAGCTTAGCAGTGTGAGAACGTTGTCAATCATGCTTTTCTTTTTAAAATCTCTATTCTTGTCCAAAATTCATCTGACACTTCTTAAAGTGACTGTGACAGATTCATATTCCACGAGAAACAGATCTCTTGATTTCCCTTCACAAGGCGATGATGCTTTGCATGCAGATGACGCCGTCCTTGATCATAAAAAGCCCCGGGACTCACATGCGTTCATAATTAAGCCACAGAATGGCCATTTGACTCTGCATTGCAGAGACTCAGCCCTGGGAAGTGGGCTCCTTCATTCAACCTTGAACCAGACTCAGTGGCTGAACATGTAGGAGCAGTAAAACTGGGGGCGAGGGGTGGGGTTGTTTGTGGGAATTATCATTATTTTGCATCCCAGCCAAGTGCATGTACAACCACGCCTCTCAGTAACAAACATCTCCCGTTATACTCAGTCTGGGGTGGAGAGAAAGTTGGTTCCAAACTCTCCCCCTCCTCCCATTTCCACGCACCTCTCTGCCATCCCGTGTGCCTCACCACTGTACATCGACCGCATCCTCAACTGTGAACTCCTCCTATTTCCCACCTTTTCCTGCCCCAAACTTGGCTGTCAAATGCATTTACTAGTTTTTTGGTTTTGTTGTTGATGTTGTTATTGCTAAAGGTAGAAGGGACACAAAGGCTAACAAACAATATACCTACATTGAATCACTCCTTCTTCTCACTTCTTTCATTTAAAAAAAAATCTGAATCTAAATGAATAGCTCTACTATTGATCATAACAGGAAATTATCCAACTTGGATCTCTGAGAAAAATAAAATCCCCAGGTATTTCCACCTGATGACTAAATCAGAGCACCTAAAATCCGCATGTCTCAAACCCCATTCTATCTTCCCGATCACAACAGCGCTGCTTCCAGTCTCTCCCTGACAAGGTCTCTGCTGTTTCTACTCGGTCCCTCATTCCCAGGCGTCACCAGCGCGCCAGCCCTGGGCGAGTCTGGTCCACAGACGCTCGCCTTGCTTTCACCGCTGTCTTCGTTCCCCGCGGCTAGTGCTTCAGCCACCAAGATTTTAAATCTTAAATCTTCCACACAGAGCTACTTATCTGAACAACAGGACCAACAACTCAGCACCATTCTGCAAAAGTTTTCAGTGACATTATTTGCCTATTGAATTCCTTTCCTTCTTCATTTTACAAAAATGTTAACACATCATTTTATGGGGGGTCTTACCACTCTTAGAACAATCCAGAGGTCCTCTGTGTCAATTCTCTGTGAATGCATTTCTTAAGGGAGCAGGGAAGGTCCCAAGTCCCATGTTCCCTAGGACGCTCCCAGCCTGGCCTTAGTTGGCACCACTCCTAATCTGTTCAACAGGCACTGCGCTCTACCTCCCGGCTCCCAAACCCAGGTTCCCATTCCTCTTTTCACCTGCACGGCTCTTTCTTGCCAGGCTTGGGACGTTTACCTGACCCTGGGAGGCCCGCCCCACATCAGCTCCATCTCCTCAAAGGAGCCATTCCACACCTTCCCATCCCCACAACTCTGCCCACGGACTGCTGGATTGTGTGCACAGCCCGAGCAGGCTTTCATTCTGCGTCAGCCACAGGGTGGTTACGCTGGTGTTCACTTTCTGCACGGCTCTCAACCGATGCTTGTCTTGTCCTTCTCAGGCCTGCCATTAAACCAGATGCTATCGAAGGGCGGGCAGCAACCACTTACAAGTCTCCGCATCCACAGGGCCTTGGATCCTTACTTCCATGAGACAATTCGGCCTCCCAGCGACCCCACATAGCTCAGAGCAGAAGTGCACTCCCCCATTGGGTTTCCAGCGGCAGGGTTTGGGGCAGTAGATCACTAACCCTCCTTCCACAGCACCATTGGGTGGGTGGAACTGCGCCTTTGGGTTAGTCGCCCAGCACACACCATTTGTACCACCCAGGAACCGCGCTTTACACCAACAGCTTTCTAAGACAATCTTATTACAAAAGGTTATAATGGCTAAAATGATCAAACAGAAAAAGAGGCATGAGGGAATGGCCTACTGTACCATGCTGTTTCTTTAGGAATTAGAATTTTTTATTTGTCTTAACAGGTGAGTAAAAACTAGTGCCTCTCCTTGCATGCATCTGTGAGTGAGCAGGGGCAGGTGGAGCTGAGGCTGCTCACGGTGGGAAAAGGTGAAGTCCAGCGCTCTGGCCCTGTCTCTTAACAGTAGCCTACTAGCACGACCTGTGTGGTAGCTGAACGATTTTGTGTCCACTTGAATTTGAATGGAAGTGCATGGATGGAATCCCACCTGTCAATCAGGTCACCTCCTTGGGGTGTGGTCTTTTATAAAGGAGACACTGGGAACTTCCCTCTCGTTGCCTTTTCCCTGCTTGCTGAAACCCTTCCTGACTCCAAGGACAGCCTCCTGTGGGCAGTCAGCCCCAGCCCCAAGAGCTGTCCATGCCGGGCCGTGGTTCCACCGACCTTGGATCATTGGGACTTGGCACCCCCTGGCCTGTGATCTCCCTGCTGCCGCTTCTCCTTCCTGTGTCATCGGCCTGCAGCTGTGGGAGTCTGAAGAGGGCAGCGGCCAGCAGCAGGCTTACGGACTTGAGTCGGACTGGACCAGGATGCCTTCTTGCTATGGAATGACTTCTCTATAGAAAGTTCTCTCTTGTGCAGAGATGAGAGTCAGTGGTTTGTTTCTCTAGACAACCCAGCCTAACACACAAGCCAGTGGATGGAATCAATGCCAATCTTTTCACTAACTGTGGTTCAAAATATTTCAAATGACCCTCACATCCCTTACTGGCAAACTCTGAAGGAAATGATGTTTATGGAAACTCAATTATTCCCTTGTCTATAAATATCTACTGGATCGGAAAAAGGTCAACGCACCCCAGTAGCTAATAATCTCCCGCAATGGTACCACTCAGTTTCCATTCCAATTACTCAGTTAAAAATGCACTCAGTCAATAGCCGACAACTTGGCCACTCATCAAGTTACAGTGGTAGGTGAGGCCGGCTGCTAGCACACTCACCTTAAAACCTTTCGAAGCAGCAATGTGGGCAGCCGTCCAGCCCTCCCTGTTGGCGTGGTTAATGAGGTCGGCGGGGATAACGGGCGTGGGCGTGCTTTCAGGGTTTGCTTCTCCTTCATCCAAATCAAAGACACCCAGTCTGGACGCCTCCGTGTCCAGCCCATCCCCACAAGCCGGTGCTCTGTGGTACAGGAGGAGCTTGAGGCCATCCACACTACCAGTGTCCACCGCAGCGTGAACTGGTGTCCAGCCATCCTGAAAACAAAGTGACCAGTGGGGGAAGTTGGATTACAATACTACAGCTGAGCACCATGCTGTTTAAGGTTCACCTCTAAATGTTCTTGGGCTTGGATCACTGAGCTGGGAAAAGCAGGCATTCTGATCCTGAACACGGCTCATGAGCTGAGTGAAGTTCCTTCACTTCTCTCAATTGCTCTATTTCCAGTTTTATGACTTAAGCGCGCTATTCTGTGACCTCAGCTGCCTAAACTAAACATTAACCGTTTGAAGTGAGTAGGCATTGCTCAAGACCCTAACTGAACATTGTATGTAGTCAGCCAGAACCTCAATTTGATACCAAGAAGGAGAATACAATTTTAGCATGAAGAGATTTTTTTTTTAACTCACGTAGATATGGGTGCACCTACAGTCACCGACCATAGCACTAGCCACAACAGAAAAAGAGGGAAATAATCTAACTGTCCATCCTTGGATGGGGGCTAACAAACTGTGGCATCAAAATTCAAAGGCAGAGTGTACACAAAAAATCATGATGGGTCTGGGGGTCGGCTCCTGTGAGAGGAAGTCTCTGCAGGGCATTCTGCCACGTGAAACACGTCAAGCACAAAAGGCCCAATGCTGGGTGGTCTCCCTGCTGTAAACACCCGCAGACGGGCACACGTACTGAAAGCAACAATCTCTGGTGGTTACCCGGATGGGAGAGGGGATCACTTGCTAGACAGTAGTCACTGGCTATCTTCCGTGATGGGAAAGGCAGCTCCCAATATGAGTTAGGTGCACAACTAGGCCAAGTTAAAAGAAGACAACAAGACGTGCATAAGAAAAAGCGACAATTTTGGTAAATGCTATAACATTTTTTTTTTTGCAATGACAATAACAACAACCAAAAAACATGTATGATAGGTGTAAATGCATAGGAAGGCATATGTAGATACATACATGCAAATGCATGAGGCATGTTTGTATGTGTATATACAGGCACACACATAATTGTGTGTGCTGCACATGAGTAGAGGTAATATCCTATACTAGATATATCCGAACACCTTGTAGGATTGAGGTCCTGGAATGAAAGACTTATGATCACAGTTTCATAAGACAATTCAGTCAATAGATATGACAAATAAGAAGGTAATGCCCTACCTGTGCTACTTGGTGAGTACCTTCTGAACTCTTAAATGTTTGTGAATGGCCATCAAGTTGGTCTTTACTTGTCAAGAACAAAAGAGAAAGCAGGAGACTAAAGGTGCTAAGAGGAAGTGCATGTGACTAAGCACTACACCCTCATGTAGCCGGAGGCCAGAAGAACTAGCTAGTGCCTGCTGGCTGCCATTACTGACAGTTCTGACCAGGAACAAAACAGAGGATGGGTCCCACACAGAATGGGAGAAACATGTAAGACAAAATTCAAACTCCCCAGAAAAGTCAGACTTACTGGACTGCTAAAGACAAGAAACCTCTGGGACCATCACCCTAAGATACCTTTTGAACTTGGATTTGATGTCAGTCCTGAAGGTCACCTTTCATCCACGTAATAGATTGCCTTATAAAATGAACAATATCAACATTGAGTAGGGTGCTCCTTTAAATGATCAACTATATGAGACCATTGACTCCACGCAGAGACACAAAGCTAAGGAGGGCACAGAAGCTAGCCTATGGGAAACAGAAGCAGCAGACTGGAAACAATGAGAACTGGTTCAGTGGGAATGTAATGAACTGTGTCAACGTTCATCAGCCATACAATATTTAAAAATACATACTTAGAAGTCTATATCCAGGTACACGCAGTAATATTCAATGAATAAAAATGCATGCCTAAATCATCTCTCCTAATTCTAAAAATAAGACAAATAGAAAACAGATGATTCCAGTTAAGGCTCAGGGGTTAGCAGGTCAGTCCGTGTCGAATGAGTAAGGCTTTAATCAACAGGGAAGAGATGCAATCAGCAGACACATTTTTCAAATCCAATATCCAAAAATGCCAAGCTGAACACAGAAAATTCAGTTTTAACATTGTGGTAGTTACCTAATGTAGTCTCAATTTAAGGATTAAGAGTATAGGGGTAGAGTCTATCTAAGCTGTCAATCTGGAGATAGACAATGAGACTTCTGTGTGCATGGCCTTCTCTTGAGAATTCTGGGAAATCTGGTACTTCCTTCTTGGAGGTGGAAGACACCACTATCTCTGTTACTTCCTAGGAGACATTTCCACATGGATGCAACCAGACCTCTGAAGCCAGAGAAGCCACAGAGAGCCCCCTGCCAGCACTGAGATGCTTACAACGCCACTGGACCCAAAGACTTTCTACCCACTGGCTTGTGATTGTCCTACATTTGGCTTCATTGCATGTGTTTCATGAGTCTGAAGAGGACTTTAAAGATTGGTATCGGACATACAGGCTAATATCAGACTTATGGCCTTGGACTGGACTGGGCGGGGATGTTTTCTCAATGTTCAATTCCTCTTGTATACAGATCTCTTTCTTATACACATACACATGTCCATGGATTTGTTTCTGTAGCCAACCCAGACAAACACAAACATTTTGTTGTTTTGCTGCTGCTTTAGTTTTAGAATTCTGCAAACAGCTCTAAAGTACATGTATAGAAAAAAACAAAACAAAACCACCCCCACAAAACTGGTACTCACTCTGGTTTTTACACTTCGGTCTGTTCCAGCTTCCAATAAGAGTTTAATACATTCTTTATTTCCATTTTTACAGGCCAGGTAGAGAGGTGTCTGTCCTTCAGCAGCAGCATGATTAATGTTAGCATGGTATGCAACTAATAATTCTACACATCTGAAATCACAGGATGCACTTAATTACATACAAAAGGAGAGAGTGACCTTTGCAATGGTACCTGCTCAGGATACTCCGTATGGAGAAAGGCAGAGGACATTCTTCAGGTTCGTATGCATGCGGTGTTTGTGTTTGTACATCTACAGAACATTCACGGGCAAAAATGAAATGACAAGGTGGTGGCTTTTCCCCAAGAACGCGTCAAAGCCCCTTGCACGTGTCTCCATGTTGTGGGTCTCAGGCGGATCCTGCATTTTGACAGGACCAGCTCACCATGATTGGCTCAACTCGCTGGCAACTGAATCTGGTTTTGGTATTTTAACAAGGCCTGAAGATAAGGCTTCAGTCACAACATTTACACCCTCTTGTGAAAATTTAAAATAGCCAGTTTAAACCAACTTTATGACTTTTCTCTGTAACCAACCTGTAAAACCGGGGTCCTTAGAATAACTGTTGACTTAATGGAATCAAGGGTTTAACTGTGCTTGACATCTGTGTTATTTGTGGTTGGAAATAGTCTGAGCCTTCCACAAAGCCTGATGCTGAGCTATTCTGAGACATGGACTGGAGAAAGAATTACAAGCAGCATCGACTTTGGGCAGCCTGTAACAGGCAGTGCAGCGGCAGAACCAAGGGCTCACGGAGGCAAGACTGTGGAGGCGGTCTGGCTGCGGGCGGGGCGGTGGATGAGGACATGGACACAGGCAGGCAGACCCTCACTGTCAGAGAATCAGGGAGGAAAGGAACAAGGTAACTGCATGATTTCCCAGCATTCCTGGTCACCTGGGAAACATCACCAGTTTCCGTTTGTAAAATCAGTTGACAGTAAACTTAGCATGAAATCGGCAGGGAATTAGGAACCAATTCACAACTTATTGATTTATTTATTTTACATGAATTTCATGTTCTTCCTTGGGTTTTCTTGACAGTGTTGGGTGAATTTATGTATGTATATATATATATATATGTGTGTGTGTGTGTGTGTCTGTGTGTATGTATATATATATATTTTAAAACAACATCCATGTTGATTCTCACTCATTGACCTCTGGATTTTCCCAGGCTGCCCCCCTTTCACAAAGATGTCTGTGACTCTGGGGGTCCTGGGTGGGCAAACAGTTATGAGTCTCAGCAGCTGGCCAAATGCGTGGATGTGCCAGTCCACCCAGGAGTGCCTCGGGTCTACTTCTGAAAAGAGTCACTGAAAAACCCCGTGGAGTGCAGCGGTACACTGCCCCATGCGGGCCTTCCATAAACGGAGGGAGCAGCACACCTACATTGTACTATTAGCAGGTAGTTCAGGATCCTTAAAGCAATGCCTGGCTTCAACTGGCTTAGCGAGCAGAGGAAAAATAACTGCTAAAGTTATGTGCATTTCAATGCAAAGGCTCTTTGGGGTTTGGGATTTTCAGAGCTCATCTCTAAATATCCTGCTTCATTGTTTTAAAGGGAGCAAGATGCATCCCTGAGGAGCCTGGCGGTGCGTAAGCATGGGAGGTGGTTCAAGCCCATCAGCTGATCTCCAAGGAGAAAGCTGAGGCTGTTTGCTCCAGTAAATATTTACAGCCTAGCAACCCGTACATGGGTTGGGGATTTGGTTTTGGGTTGGTTGGCTTAGGAAGTTGAGATGATCACAGACACTGTAACTGTTTTAGTGCCAATGCCCTAGACTGCGCGCGCGCACGCACACACACATACTCTCTCTCTCTTTCTCTCTCTCTCTCTCTCCGGGGAGGTCTTGCAGTGGTGGGAAACAGTGAAGGCCCAAACTCTGTAACTCCCCCTGGTGCCACTCTCTCTGATGCGATAAGTGAGAATTTGATGAGCTTCTTCAGAAGCGCATTCCTTCTTGTGATGTTTAGATACACAGCGTTTCTCTCGACCCCACAATGGATCACAAAGAAGAGCAGGTTCAGGGGCCTACTGTGAACTTCAACCCTCCTATGTGTTTAGTAAAACTATTGTCCAAGGGCGATAAGCAGCGGTCTACACACTCAGCCAGAACTAAAATGTATGTGCCCAGGACAGAGCGCAGTTCCTTGCATAGGAGAGAAAGAGCAGAGCATCACTTACTTGACGTGTCCCTGAGCAGCTGCAGCACACACGGGTGTGAAGCCATCGTTATCAGCAGCATTGACTTGGGCTTCTGCATTCAGCAGCAATCTCACACAGTCTATGGATTTTAATAGAAAGCACGTTTAATTCCCCGCTTGTAGCCAGCCCGAGCCAAATTCTAAAGCAGCGATAGAGAGATTCTGAACCCCAGGAACTCTGCCTGGCACAGAACACCTAACAGTTCTGGGATGTGGGACTCCATAACTTTCCAGAGAAAGGCAGCCTCCTTCCCCCAAAGAGTGTATTATCCCAGATTCACCAAAGCGCGTGCGTGCATGCGTGCGTGTGAGTGTGTGATAAAAAGAGGGGGGAGAGGGGAGACAAAGAGGGAGGGGGAGAGAGAGAAAGGGAGTTTAGCATGAAAGGAATTGCTAAGTGTCAGAAAAATGCTCTACCAGACCTTTCCATCAGCTTCCCCCAGAACATAGAGCTTTTAGATGGACAACCAAATTCACCCAATTGAAACATTCATCATCGTTAAATCGTTAACCTTTAGCTTCAGGATGTTTAATTTTTGTCTTTAAAGCGAATTTATGTGATGGCCCTCCTGTGCTTGACTCCATGAGTGAGGAGAGAGTAAACGCAGAAAATCCCCCAACTCGGGTATTGCCGGCATCTAGAACTCACAGGCCCTGTGCTTCGGACGTGGCTCAGTTTCTCTGTGTGACAGGCTGTGTCTTCAGTGCCTGGGAGGTATAGGCGAAGCCAGAGTACTTCAAAACAACGAGCTATCTTCCTAGCACCTCAGACTCTGCCGTTCAGTCCACCCTCACCAAGTGAAGCAATGCAAAATTTTACAGAAGCCACGTTACCAAATCAATCTACCATCATGGGGCTCGAGTACATAATGCCTCTTGACTTGGCATCTGAAGTCAAATCATGTCTTTTTTTCATACTACCATATGTTTGAATACATTTGACTACAGAATTTGCATTTTAAGGAACAAGGCTAATTCCCAGACTTCATCCACATGCCCTTTAGAGTTATGCAATGTTTCTGTTCTCTCAAAAAAATCCAACTAACTATCCATCATTCCAATGGCAGAATGATGTTCAGGCACAGGACCTTTCCAAACGACTAAAACCTTCCCGGCTGGGGCAAGAGCCAGAGTCACGATGCTTGACTCTAACCCCAACCGCAGGTGTTCCGAACCACAAATGAGGGCCACTTTGTTCTGATCAGAGCAGCCAGGGACGGCTGTTCTCTACAATGTGTTTCACAGCCCTAGACCCACGGGTTCTCCCAGTACCATCCATTCCACTGGGTGCAAAACGGAGAGACTGTTTACTGGCCTCGGCCAACTTCACGATTAGACTATGCAACTCAGATTTTGTCATGTTGACAAAGACATCAAAGGTCATGCACACAAATCCCCCACCCCTCCCTGTAAGAGAAAGCCTGAAACAAAAGGAAACTTTTGCTCGTCCCTATCAACGGGTACAAAATTCTGCCATCGAGTCACTGCTGACTCAGAGGGATGGCACCCTCCACCCCCTGCCCCGTGGGTTTCGGAGACTGTAACTCTTTATGAGAATAGAAAGCCCGGTCTTTCTCCTGCAGCACTGCTCGGGGGCTCGAACTGGTGACTGGGCAATCACAGCTCAACACATAATCACCACCCCCGCAGGGATCCTTCAATGGGCACAAGGAGGAAGAAAAGGTTCCAAAGTTGATTGAGGTGATGACTGCACAACCCTTCTTGATATGGCTGAACTACTGAATTGTATATGTTAGTTATAGTTCAATAAAAGTAAAACAATAAATAAATAAACAGAACCACAACAATGGCTCTGATCCATTTGACTCTTGGTTCGTTTGCAAGTGTGAGTAGCAGGAGAGACGAAGTCACGGTCATTACCTGTATGTCCATTCTTAGCAGCAGAATACAAGGCAGAATGGCCATCTTCGCAAGAGTGATTGATGTCGAGTCCTTCTTCATTAAGCAGCATTGACAGTAAAGTGACATTTCCCTGGGCAGCAGCTTGCTGAAGAAGGGTGGGCCTGCCAGCCAGGGGGGCAGGACCACCACTCATTAGCAAAGGGGTTAGGGAGGGTGACCAGCCTGTGGGTTAAAGCGACCCTAGTTAGAGAGCAGGAGCGGATACAAGAGACAACGATTATCCTACCTCTTTCTACACACACACACACACACACACACACACACACACACTCGCACACACATATAAACAAGTGCTCCCAAAGGATTATGTGGTTTCTAACATTATCAATCTGTTAATATTTACTTAGCACAAATCTTTACTGTTATTTCAGGTTTTATATCTGTTGCTAATGAAATGTACGTGATGACAAATGATTTTTAGTCATCAGTGTGGCACAGGGAAGTGTTAAGGTGGTCACCGGCTTAAGGAAACTAAGAGGGCCGTCTCGTTGTGAAAGTTCAACTTCCTTTTCAGAACTTCAAAGAACGTGGATTCTAAAATCTCATGCGTGGCTGTCAGGTACCACAGACTCAGCTGAACAATCCCCACAGGGGGGTTTCTAGGCTCTAATCTTTAGGGGAACGGGTCACCAAATCGTTTCCCCCCTGGATCCTCTGGTTGGTTTGAACTGCCAACCTTTCAGTTCAGGTTAACTCTTGCATAACTAGGGCACCTCCTGCACAATATCAACCAGGAAAAGGGAACCCATATGTTTAGGTATAAAATATAAATAACTTCAAGAAACTTAGGTTTTCATTTTCAACAATGTTTCTAAAGTATTTGCTTAAGCATTCTACATAAACTCTTAACATGGACCAAATACTATGAGGGAGTCAATTTACATTCTTAGAAATTCTCTAGTTGGGTATAGAAATAATAGGGACTGGCTGCTATACAGAATCAAGAACTTATAGATGTTAACTGAATCCGCTGGTGCCAGCACAGATCTCCAATACATAAGTGCACACAGTATCATCTGGCCGTCTTGACCGCATGTCTAACAGAAACTTCTAACCAGCCAACAAACGCCGACAGTCTACAATATAGTTTTAATAAATATCATAAGAGTAATCAGTTAGCTATTTCTCATCAGCATTTAGCAGCTTTAGAAGAGAATCTGTTAACTGTGTGAAGTCGACTGCACAGAGCATGGAAAATTTTCTGAATTCTTCCTTGATCAAAAGGCTGCAAAAAACAGTAAAGTAAAAATATTTATTTAATGTGATACATAGTATTTGTGTACTTTAGGCTTAAATACAGTTAATTTTCGAATTAAGTCCTCTTACTTTTGTCCCTTATTGTGTCCCAAATTGTGCCCTGATTGTTACTAAGAGTGTTACCTCTTAGTAACACTAGTGCATAAGTAGGTGTAGGTATAGATGTTCATTTATCTGATAATTCATCATACATCTCCGGTAATAAGATAAAATAGAGGCAGGTTTCATATCTCCTGCACAGAGATGTCAATATATTATTCATGAATAAGAGTAGTATACTAATATGTATGTAGTAGTCACTTATTATAGTTAAATCTTTAAATTCCCAGCCTCAAAATTAAAAGGGCACACATCGATGAAAAATTCCAGTATTTGTAAAGTTCCTGTACACAGACAAAACCAAAGCAGTTTGTGCAAAAGTAACTCTACTGCTTATTAAAAGCTAGATATTGTAGCTTTATAATCACTTATTTGGACTCATGAATAAGTTATTATTTTACCCTATTAGACTGCAGTGACAAACAAAATGCAAGTGCTCATAAAAATTAAATATTTATCCAAAACTTTATGATATTTTCCCCATTGATATTCATTAGCTCTCCTTACAAAAGTAGTATTTTTGACTTCATACTTACAAGCAGGCTCCTCTGTGGTACATTTTACCTTTTGTATTTTCTTAAAAACAAACAAAAAACAAGCCCACAAAAATTAAATCAGTACTTATATGAAATCGATTATCAACAGAGAAATTATACACACCAAGGCGGAACGCCTTGGCTGCACAGCAAACACCAAGCTGATAGGAAGGCATTGCATGCCAGGCCTCTGTGGGACAGGGGTGCATGGCGCACACTGTCTGTCCGTCTGTCTCAGCTCTTCTCAGTCTGTATTTAGAGCGCATCCAAGGCACTGTGATTTCTGACATGCTCGTAAGAATAACTATAGATGTATATATTAACAGTGTGCAATTCTCTGGGGCTTTGCTTCGTGTTTTCTTTTTCATCACCATCCTAGGTCTGGGCGGAGATACTTTAAATATAAAGGTAGTTTTGCAACTGTTTATGGTAATATTCACTTACGATAACGTTTCATCAGAATTGTACGCTCAATATTAAATTACCTGAAGGAAAAACTATCCTATTCAAAACTTTTGCCGACCTTTAGATCAGTTAGACTTATGAGATCCCTGTTACATAAGAATATGGAAAAAATATGTATCAATATCCTTGTTTCTTAGAGGACTGCAATACAGCCTTAAAATCTCTTACTAAACGATAGTGCTTGATAAATAAACTTTAAATGGATTTTCTAACTTCACTACCAATTTTGTCTAGCACTAACAAACTTACTTGCTTTTGAGATGTCCTATTATAAACTTAGAAAAATAAAATTACATTTCACAATGGTACTTCATTTCACATTCCCAACAAGGATAAGAACAGTCATAATTAGTAGACTAGTCAGTGGTTAAGCAGTAACAGAAGAGACCCATTCCCATACAGCTACCCTCATCATGTTAGAAAACGGTCTCGTGCAGTCTTGCAGCGTCCTGTGCAAACATTAGTAGAGGTGAGAAGCTTGCAGATCATGCAGCGAGGAGGGGACTACGGGGAGCGCAAGACAGTGAGCGGAACAAACAGAACGTGCAATGACAGGGAGGGGCATTGAGAACAGCTTCCGGCATCAGCTTCAGAGTGTGGTTAAGGTCACAGCCCCGATCAATCTCGTTTCCTAATTTTAGCCTTTAAGCTAATCATACATGGAGAATAAATAAAACTGTATTTTCAACTGGGGGTAGGGGTAAGGGGTGGGGAGAGGGCTAAATAAAAACAAATCAGTGTTGCAAATTAAAAAAATGAAAAGCAAAAATTTGCCCAAGGGTTTGGAAACTCAGTTGCCTGGGGGTTAAGCCTCTAGTCTCCCAGTATTTGAGCTGCCCTCCTTTGGCAAGTTCAAGAGACAGAAGTAATTCATTGGAGATTTTAAAATTTATTTGGGAATTTACAATTCCAGGCCTTAAAAGCAGTTAATTGAAGTACAATTAGCACACAATTCATCCAAATAGTATCTGCTGTCCTCCCAGTTCACCTCAGCACTTTAATAATCATTTGTCATGTGTCCTAGTGGCACAGTTTTGAAAGCATCCAGCTCCTGCCCGCACTCAGCTGTCTGTTGGAACCCAGCAGTCACTCGAGGAAGAAACGTGATCATCTTTCCTCCAGCCTCGAAACCCAACAAGGTAGAGGTAGCTCTACTCGGTGTGACAGAGGCGCCTC